GACCCTCTATGATTCCGCCATCTATGGAAGGCAGATATGAAGTAGACAGAATCATAGAGCATGGATACTTTTCTACCGGAGCACGTGGACGGCCTCAGAAGCAGTTCAAGGTACGTTTTAAGTCTCAGGCACCATCTGAGGACAGATGGTTTAGTAAAAGAGAATTACTTGAAACTGCTCCTGATATTGTTGCCGCTTATGAACGAGGGCGAGTCAACGCTACTTAAGCGTTGACCTTCCTGGCTTCGAAATTCATTTTGCCTTGCGTTGATGCTGAATTCACGCGTTGACTTCAATGCTGGTTCGACGCTGCGACGCTGGCTCGACATTGCGACACTGGCATTGTGATTCGGCAAGGCGCTGCTGGTCCTGCATGGTGGCTGGCTTGCACCTGTCTTCTTGGCATGCTGGCGTGGCAGCTGCCATGCGCTGTCGCTGATGTGGCTGCTGCCACGTGTATCATTGGCTGACGTGGCTGCTGCCACGTGTTCTTCTGTTCGCTGACGAAGCGAAGCTACGTGACTTGTATTGCTGTTCTGATTACCGTCATTCGGGAGGAGATTGGGACTGTGGAGAGATCGTGGATACGTACTTGGTTGTCTTCATGTCGACATTGCTCCAGGATTGACGAGGGACTTATTAGACGTGCCACCTGGCACATTGAGGTTACTTCACATACTTGTTCAAACTATTGATTATTGAGGTGGTGATTGAGGAGGGAGCCCGAAGTAGGAGGGGGCCTTGTATTTATTTCCTCTCCTTTGTCTAGTCTCCCTCCTCTCTCCTTCGTTTGTGTATGATTATCTCTTCTCATTTTGTCTGGACACGATTTTGACTATTGGTAATCATCAGCTGGTTGATATTCTTATGGGCTTGCATTGTTGACGATTGTCTTCACGATCTGGGTTCATTGCAACCCCCCCAACCCCTGACCCTCGACCCTTGAAATACCCTCCCCCCCCCACCCAATCCCCTAACCCCCCAAACAAAACTTCTCTGTTCAAAGTTTCCTTACGGATTCGGGGAGATCTCGGTGAACGCAGTCCAACTGCGGGGATTTGGCTCCTCGGCAGGACTCAGGGGCCCCTTATACAAGTGTGCCCGCCCTAAGTGAAGGCGGGCATAACAAATCACGAGAGGCCCAATGCTGTCAATTTCGTATTTGGGGTTCAGGCAGTTGTGTTGCGTCAGTTGGTTGAGGGAACCCAGGTCCCGAGCAGCATCTACTTTTTACGGTCGTCTAGGCCTTTTCTGAAAGGCAGGCCCTGGGCCACATTCGCAACAATATACACAAACATTTGGGAGGCGTAACCGAACGAGGCGCAGCAGCAGCAGTAGAGGCCCAGCTACCTGGGGCCTACCGGAAGCTTCTGGGCGCAGGGCCGCAGGCCCAGCCCAGCCAGGCCCCAGGCTAGGCCAGACTCTTTCCTTATAGGAAAGAACTCGCTGCTTGGCAAGGGGGTCGGGCACTTGCCAGTTTGCGGCAGCGCTGCTGGAGCGGACGCTCGCGGGCGGCTGCTAGCGCTGGGGCAAGGTGCTGTGCACATGCAGTCGTGTAGGAAGAAGGGCGTTACTGTGGGCAGCGCCATAGCCCAACTTCAATAGCTGGCTGGGCTTGGACGAACAGCAAGGCGCAGGGGTGGTCTTCGAGTGTAAAGAGGGAAGACAAGGTAGAAAGACGAGGGAGAGAGAGAGATAGAGATGAGAATGATGATGTGAGGGCTCATACGTGGTATTGGCGACGATCTGCATTGGGCGACATCTTCATGTACTTCGGTGGCTGCTGATGTCAACAGTTGCATTGTCAATTCGTAGGTAGATAGTAGCTGTGTGGGGAGTAGTCTGGGCGCCGAGCGCCAAGTAGGGGGAAGGGCCTCGACTCTTATGTTGGTGATGACGTGAGTAAACTCTCATTGACGTTCGGTTTCATTTCGATTCTCCATTGGTGTAACATTAGTGCAATGCTGCTTTCTGGGCACTGTGAGACTTTATGGCTTTCAATGTGATTGTGTAATCTGGATTCTGCCATCTCGCCACTGCTCATTTTCCTTGCAATTTGGTATTAGAGCTGGTTCCAACTACGTTGCTGGTTCTTCCCAATAGCTGTTCGGTGCTTCGCATGTGGTGTGGGGCAGTGATAATGCTTAGGCGTTGAACGCGAGGCGGCCCAGGGTCGTGTGGGCGCGCCAGGAAGGCTATGAGGTGACATAGGGATGTACGCTGGATGATGAGAGCTCGCTGATGTGGCATTTAAGCCGAGGTGGAACTGCATTTTGTTGTTTGTTGTGCCAAGGCAAGGACCGGTCATTATAAATGCACGTCAGGTTGCCGTTGAAAAATCTGTGGTTGGGGGCAGCATTTGAGGTACATTGCTCTCTTCCTTATCTACCCTCTTCATTACTTCTTACGGTGAGGAAGTGAGTTATGTCTTGAGAGTCCTCTCGATGTCAGGTGTCGCGAGAGTTCAACCTTGAGAGTCAACATTCGTGCCAGCAAGCTGGTGGGAGACGGGTGAAGCCTCGGAAGGGCCTTGGACGAAGCACTCAGGTCACTGTCAACATGCCAACCCGCTGGGACTAGTACACGCATGCTTTGCCGCAAGTCCTTGGTTCTTCTTGCTGTGCAATAGAGGTCATGCTGGGCATGCCAGCCCTATAAGAGACGCTCACCAGCCGTCTATAAATATTTTTGGTGGGTTTCGGTTGAACCCTGGCTGTGATCGTCGTCGTGTCTGCGATGTTAAATCATTTTTGAGGACGGTGGGGGTTGTCCTTAAAACTGCCTCTTTATCAGCCAGATCAACTAGAAGTAAGGATCGTTGCATGCGAGGATGAACAAGGTGCAAGGCTGCCAGCCTTAGTATAGACTTGGGGCACAGGGGTGAGCGGGATTGCACACCTTCAAACACATCGCTCAACCAGATGCTCAGGACGTCGACATAAGAGACCAATCAAGAAGGATACAAGGGGAGGAGAGATTATGTCAATTGTTCGTTGTGGAAATAATTAGATAAACTACCATTCAACATGCATCTCCACAGGTAATTTATTTTTATTTTGATTGTTTAGTTGTACGGACTTGGTGACAATTGAGAGACAATTGCAAATAGGATAGACCAATCCTTGCTGCATTGCAGCCTGTTTTAGAGTAATCTGAAAATAGAAATAGAGTTACCTTTAGGACCTGACATCAATGAATCCCCCTCGGCGGCGGACATCCGCGGACAAGTCCCCGGCCGCGGACGCGCGGACCCGTGGCGGTCGAGAGGGAGGTCCGTTCGGAATTCCGAAAATGGATCCCGGCGGCGCATCGGCGTCCCTAGGCCTGGGCACGAAAAAAAAAAATAAAAAATGATTTTCAGTGGGGGTCATTTTTGGTTCCCTATGACCCCCCCCAAAAAAATACCCCCACCCCCTTTTCGCGATTTTGTCGAAGCGGGGGTGTTTGACACGTCGCAATGTACGCGTCGACAAAAAAAAAAAAAAAATCCGGCGGTGGTTGGGGGGTTGGGGAGGGGGTTATTCATTATGGGCTTTTGTCGTGTGTTGGGGTGGCAAACGGTGTGGGTTGGAAAAAGTAGGTTGGTGGGGCCCGTTTGGGGGGGGCCCGTTTGCCGTTGGTGGGGCCCGTTTGGGTGGGGCCCGTTTGGTGGGGCCCGTCTGCTGGTTATCTCATCCCATTTGGTGGGGCCCATTTGGGTGGGGCCCATTTGGGTGGGGCCCGTTTGGGTGGGGCCCGTTTGGGTGGGGCCCGTTTGGGTGGGGCCCGTTTGGGTGGGGGGCCCGTTTGGGTGGGGCCCGTTTGGGTGGGGGGCCCGTTTGGGTGGGGCCCGTTTGGGTGGCGGTCGTTTGGCGGGGCCCGTCTGCTGGTTATGTCATTCTGTTTGGTGGGGCTCGTTTGGGTTGGTGGGGCCCGTTTGGGTGGGGCCCCTTTGGTGGGGCCCGTTTGGTGGGGCCTGTTTGGGTTGGTGGGGCCCGTTTGGTGGGGCCCGTTTGGGTGGGGCCCATTTGGTGAGGCCCGTTTGGGTGGGGCCCGTTTGGTGGGGCCCGTTTGGTGGGGCCCGTTGGGTGGGGCCCGTTTGGGTGGGGCCCGTTTGGGTGGGGCCCGTTTGGGTGGGGCCCATTTGGGTGGGCCCCGTTTGGTGGGGCCCGTTTGGTGGGGCCCGTTTGGGTGGGGCCCGTTTGGTGGGGCCCGTTTGGGTGGGGTCCGTTTGGGCGGGGCCCGTTTGGGTGGGGCCCGTTTGGCGGGGCCCGTCTGCTGGTTATGTCATCCTGTTTGGTGGGGCTCGTTTGGTGGGGCCCGTTTGGGTGGTACCCGTTTGGTGGGGCCCGTTTGGTGCGGCCCGTTTGGTGGGGCCCGTTTGGGTGCTGGTTATCTCATCCCATTTGGCCCGTTTGGGTTGGTGGGTCCCGTTTGGGTGGGGCCCGTTCGGTGGGGCCCGTCTGCGGTGTGGGATGCCCGTTTGGTGGGGCCCGCCTGCTTCGATCACTTTCATGATGTACACCGTGACGTTATGCATGCACTTTGACACACAACGAAACAATGCATCATCCACATCGTGATATCATGCATCCAGTTTAACACACAACGTTGAGGCAAGCACACAAAAAATAAATGACAATCCATAGGCAATATGAAACAACACGATCATCCAACGGGCGAGTAAAATCAGTACAACTGCTGAATGACAAAAAAAACATGTCATATGAGAGTCAGATCCCCGGATGCACAAAAGTCTCGTCGAACAACTCCTCTCATGTATCATAAATACCACCCACCAAACAAAGTGAAATAGATGTCACTGTTGTACACGTCTCACAAAAGCGGAGATATAAAAACCCTACCGCAAAGAACTGAAGAACTAAAGTACATGTGACGAACTAAGACAACAACTACTCCTGCCATGACTCCCATCCACCTACATTAAAAACTAGATACTCTCCGTATGTACAGAAGTCATCCTCTGGGATATAAAAAAAAATAACAGCTGTCACTAGTGTACACGTCTCGCAAAACCGAAGACACAAAAACCCTACCAGTGCTACCACAAGTAACCGCAAAGCTAAAGTACATATGAGCAACTAAGAAAACGACTACCAACCACCTGCCAAATGACGGGAAACTGTTGTCACTAGTATACAGATGTGTCACAAAAGCGAAGATATAAAAAACCCAGCCACGAAGAATTACAAAACTAAAGTACATGTGATGAACTAGAAAAACGAATACGAAGCACCATCCAAAAAAATAGGAAATATCCAAATCAAAACCACAATACATATATCTACCACATATATCTACCGCCCCCCGCCACCACCTGCTCGTCGTCGTCCACGTGTCGGCAGTGTCGTGCATGTCTGTGTCGCGGCCAATCTCTCTCTCTCTCTCTCCCTGCGCCTAACAATGTCGATGGGCCCCTCCTCCGTATCGGCATCCGAAGTGCGCGTCGCCGCCATCCTCTTGCGCTCCCTGTCAAGCTCCTCGTGCGACTCCCTCAATCGCGCCTCCTCCCTAGCAATACGAGTCTCCAACTCGTTAATGCTGCTGTGATGTCGCTCTCCATGAGGCGCCGACACTCCGTCCTCTCCGGAAGTGTACAACGCAGGTGCAGCCATGCGTGAACCTAAAAGAAGGTTTCCGCGACTGTCGTACCTAGGCAGCTCGAGAATGCGATAAGCAGTCGCCAAACTCGGCGCCGGTCTGTGCTCCTCCCTCAACCGCGCCTGGTGCGCCGCGAAATCACTCCTCACTCTCTCGTCAACTCGTCGCACTGTGCTCCACGAACGGTGAAATGACTGTTGTGTGTCGAGGCGAGGTGACGACGACGTCGGCACGTGGCCTCTCCCAGCAGGCTCAGCAGCTCTAACCGTGACCGGTGTCGGAGTGTTGTGGGGCACGGTCGGTGGAGGTATAAGTGAGGTGGTGCGAGCCCTGTGTGCACCCCGAGCCGCTGCCATGATGGACTCCGAACGTTGCTGCTCGCGCTCCAAGCTCGCCGGAGAGCCAGAATACCGAGGGCTCACAGGTGTGTACAACAGAGGCGATTGAACCCCGACCCCAAGAGATCCTGCAGCTCCCCTGCTAATCGGATCCTCCACTAGTGCACGCTGCAACGCATCAGGGTTGAGTGGCCCAAGTGTAATCTGCCCCTCCATATCTGCTCTGGCGTGGTCGTGAAGGTCAGGTGGTATACCGCCCTCCCCATCCTCATCAGCACCGCCTCCTCCCTCGACATGCCCCGACGGAACGTCGTGCGCCACCGGTGAAGGATCCCGCAACACTAACGCCAAAGACATACTGCCTCCGACCTCCTCCGGATCATGAGCCTGCAGGTCAATGTCATCACCCCCAATGGGGCCGTGTGACACTCGACCTGGACCGGCACTAGGCGACGGTGAAAGTCGCCCCGCAATATCCGCCCCATCATCGGCCTCCGCACCGGGTCCACGGCCTCCGTCCCATGCTCTTCGGAATCGCCCTCCATACGAACTGCCTCCTCAGTCACTACATCATCAGGCTGCAACGTGTCCGCTGCACAAAATCCAAGTACGACGTCGGACACGGCCGGATCTCCATGCTCTGACACGGCCGGATCACCGTGCTCCTCAGTCTGTGTTGGGCAGGTGCAAATGGATGCGGGACTGTGGGATCGCGATGCTCCACCCCGCCCAGATCAGGTACTGCAGCACCGGTCTCCAAGTCCCGAGCACGCTGCTGCTCCGCCACGTACGCGGCTCTACCCGCCCACTCTCTCTGCAACACCTCCAGCTGCTGCTCCTCCTCTCGATCCAAGCGGGCATGGAGCTCCTCCGTCGACTCCGGTACACCAGCCTCCGTAGGACGATACTCGACGTCATCCCCCACTCTCTCTCCCCTGTGGCCCCGTCCTGGAAGACCGGTGTCAGAAGGTCCGTGTCCGAGTCCATGAAAGTCACTCGTGCGTAGCTCCGTCTGCTCCTTGTCCCCTGGAGGTGCCGAGGCGGGTGTGTGCTGGCTCGGCATATGCTCATCTGGTGTAATGTCATCCAGGTGGTCGGACACCTCGCGTCTGGCAAGTCGGCCAGCGTCTGCAACCGCGCTGATCTCCTAAGACCCTCGGTGGCGGACGGAGCTCCGTCGCGCTCCATGCGTGCTTTGCGAATGACAGACGGCTCGTCATCGTCGTCGTCGTCGTCCGTGCTAGCCGCCCTCGCGCGCTCCCTCTCTCTTTCAGCAGTGGGCTGAGTAGGTAGTGCAGCACCTGCCCTACCTAAGGTACGTCCTCCCGCGCCGTGTGTGGCCCCTCCACTAGGCCCGCCTGTAGCACCTCCGCTCGCGCCGCCTGCAGCACGTTCCGTCGGCCCACCTGTAGCACCCCCACTAGCGGGAAAGGAATCGTCGTCGCTCTCCTGAATGACGGTGCAGTGTGGTTGAAAATCGTCCGGTCCTGCACCGTACGTGTAGTAGAGTCTCTCGGCACTCTTATCTACACCGACCAACAAATCCTCCGTGTCCGACTCCTGCTCCGACGTCTGCGCCGGCTCTGCTGGCAGTGGAGGCACATAGTCGTAAGGATGGAGTATCTCGGCTCAGGCGCCGAAAATCTCACCAACTCCCTCCGGACGACGAGAACCCTGCTGCTGGAATCGACGAACCTGTGCATTGATCTCGTGTGCGGGCACTGCCGACTGAGGTCGGGCTCCCCACTCCTCTGGCTCAGGCTCCTTCTCCTCATCCCCGTCGTCGATCGCGATGTGTGTGTACTCGTCAAGGCGGCGCCTCAGCCAGGGTCGCCATGTGGCCCCACGGAAGAACGTAGCCCCCGCTGCGCTCGCTACATCCAAGTAGTTTGAGATTGGTAGCAATCTCAACTAACTGCGCGACCTTCCTGAACTTGAGCTTGTTGCGCTTGGCCGTGTGGATGCGCTCATGCTCTTCCCAGTTCCTCTCAGCAGGGGAGGCGGGCGTCCACATGTGCATCACACGGCCAGCAATCTCCTGCAAGTTCGGGAAGCATGCGCCGTGCTCCACCCACCATGACGCGCACCTGCTCGTCTCCTCGTCCCCTACACAGGCCTCCGCCTCGGCGTCCCTCGTCACCCTGTCTGCCGTGTGGCCGACCCTGGAGTGGAAGGATCGCATCTGCTCACGCACCTGCAAGTATGCATCCCCCGCCGCATCACCGCCTGTCTGCGCCAAGAAAAACGAGTCGCACTCGGTAACGACCTCGAGGTCCGCAGTTGTCCTGCGGGCGGACTCGTAGTAACGGAGGGAGCGCCTGCGGGGGTTGAGCAGGTGCGCCGGCTCAAGCATATGCATGGTGCGGATCTGCACCGCCTACACGCACGGCCTCCGCATGTCATCAGGGACGTCAACAGCAGCCACCTGTCGCACCAACTCCTGCGACCAATGCCGACCATGAGTAAATCATGGACATGATCATGCCGCCCCTATCCAATCTCCTCAACAACTGGTGGATAGGGGTCATGACAGAGACAGCATGCTGAACGTTGCGCCAGAGAGCCTGTCTACGCTTCGACGACTCCCATGGGATCTTGTCCCACTCGTCGTCATGAAGCATGCTCTCCAAGGCGTTACGCCTGGCGAGCAAACACACACAAACATAAAAAAAACGGACGCGAATCGCGTCTCCACAGGGTGCACAGGCGTGCGGCGACGACTCTTCACCCTGAAAAGGCGATAAGCCGCGCCGTGCGATTTAATGAATCGCACCAACGCTCGAGCTCTAACAATGGTCTTCGTAACCCAAGGAACCCCTGTGCCGATGTCAGACAACATCAAGTTGGCCACGTGGGTGGCACAGGGGAGCCAAGTGATACGGCGGATCTGCGGATCAGGGTCCTTTGCAAGGAGCTTTGCGGCGGACGTATAGTTCGACGCAGAGTCCGTGCAAATGGCCAACACGTCCTTCGGAGGGAAAGACCGAAAAATGGCCTTCCATCTCCTCAAGACGATCCGTGCCGTCTCGGCCACTGAACCGTCTCACTGGACGGTGGCGTACAACAGGGCGCCGCGCTTGGCGGCCGCAACGAAGTTGACGATAGGGCTCGCGTCTCGCAATTGCCTACCGTCCGACAAAATGGTGGCCCCCACCGACTCGAACGAACCACGGACGTCCCTCAACATCGCGGCAACCTTCCCCCGCTGGTCATCAATACCATCGGCCCCAATGTCCTTGAAGGACGGATAGACAGGCCGCACTCCGCGAGACATGGCGGCCAATGCCTTCTTGTGCCTATACCATGACTGCCTCCTGAAAGCAGCAAAGGGTATACCACTATCGTAGGCCCACTGCAAAAAGGTGTCCCTGAATGTGGCCTGCTCATCTGGATCGTACACCTCATCCAGAGTGGACTGCCGCTGTCTCTTGCGCACCTGTGGCACGCCCTCAACTCCACTGCCCCCCACCGGCCTCTTCCCCGCTGCGCCCGGTGCACCCCCCTCGTGATGGTGAGCGGCATTGCTCCCTCGTGCAGTCATCACCACCTCCTCCCCCGCCAAATCCGGTGTTGCGCCTTTCCCTCCACCCTCCCTGGCCTCTGCTCGCCTGGCCTCCTCATCCAGGAACTCCTCTACCTCGTCCACAGGATCGCGCTCCTGTGGTTGCGACTGTGACGCACCCGTCCTCCCCCTGCCACTGCCTCGCTGGACGTCCGCAACTTGTCTATCCGCGATATCGTGCTCCCTCATGTAAGCCACGATACCGCGGTGATGTTGCTGATCGAAGTCGTAATCCGTGTGGTTCCAAATGTCAACGAACACGTCCATCGTCGCTGCCGCGCACCTCTTCAACTGAGTGAAGTGGCGCTGTGCCTTGAACAGATTCCCCTGCCAGACATGCTTGCAAGAATTGCAGCACAGCTTATAATCCTCATGCCTCTTCTCCCATGTTCCCAACCTTTGACCTTGCGTCACATGACGCCACACTCTCGACTTCCTGCGCAGCTCGTCTATCTACACATCGCTCGCAGGAACGAAGTCAGTGCCCCCCGAACCGCCGACACCACCCGTCATTTTGGACGTCGACGTCCGTAAACCCATATGTGAACCCCCCCCAACCCCCCCCCCCCCAACAAGCCCCCCGCCGCAGCTGATGAGGCTGTGCACTGGATGCCGCCGCCGGTATCTGAAAGAAAACAACAAACAAAAATAAAAATTCAATCAATCAATCAATCAATCAATCAATCAGTCAATCAACCAGTCAATCAATCAATCAATCAATCAGTCAATCAATCAATCAATCAATCAATCAATCAATCAATCAATCCTGAACACTCTCTCTCTCTCTC